TCATAATTCGCGTTTCAACTGTAGACGCAAGTTTATTAATCGTTATATTTTTGTCTGTTCTTTGAGTTTTATTCTTATCCATCTCAGTCTTATCAGGTTTACGAAAATTATTTATCTCCTCTGCATTTAACATCGTTGTTTTCTTAATCTTGATCTCTTCATCGTTTGAAATGCCGTTTCTGCTTTTATCTCTTGAAAAATTATCCTCAGAATTCTTACTCTTTTCAGCATGTTGTTGTTGATTCTTTTTTTCTAGAAGAAATTGTGCTTGTTTCTGTAAATTTAAGAGTCTCCATCTAAAACTGTCATCGTGCAATTGTCGCCATTTTACATCAAGTAATCTGATTAACCGCGACAAACTATCTTGAATCGACTTGATATATTTGAAAAACAGTTTAGTTCTTGAATTTAATCTCTGTCTTTCAAGCGTAAATTCGACATTGGAAAGAATCTGAGAAGGTACGTAATATTCAAGTTCTTGATCAAGATTCATGGAGTTTTGATATCTTCGAGGAACAACAAAATGTAAATCTTCATGATGGATCGAATCTTGATTAATTATTCTCTTTCCACATTCTTGTATCAGCAATACCACAAGCCGCAAGATTTCGCTGATATCATCAACCTGCTCAAAAGATTAAAAACTCATTAATCAAAATAATTCATTTTAATTAAAATATTTGAAGTCTGATAATCCAACATGTCTCGATAAATATTAAAAAACTAAATTAAATTTGCGATAATCTACTAATTTGCATATGATGAATGGTCGGGACGTCATGTTTTTTTGTAAAATCATTATTACGCACGGTTCTGCAAAATATTTCTTTCAGTACGCGTTTTCTCGTATTTATTGAATTCATTTATCATACTAGCGTTGGCAATCAAAGTTGCCACTTTGCCGAAATTTACCTCTGAAAAAGAATAAACCTTTTAATTATATTAATACGAAAAATTTTCACTTTTTAAATTCTAATTATAATTTCTGGCGTGTTTTTATATTGATTATTATATACGAAATTAGATACATTTTTTATATTGCGATTTTCAGCCATTTTATTTTTGTAAAGTTATTACGCGACAAGTAAAGAAAATTTGAAGTAAATTAAAAAATGTAACTAAAAATAAGTATGAAAATAATTAATAATCTCTATGAGTTTAAGAAGAATATACTCTTTACTTTTATATTTATCTCACCTATATATGTATATCAAAAACAAACCAACTCACCAAAACAATCCTGTTCATGATCAGTCCTGTTAATAATCTCGATAATCTTCTCTCCCAAATCCAAGTAAATTCGCTGCTTTGCATTTGCTATTTTTAATTTCTCGATCAATTCGTCGAGATCATCACCGACACCTGCTTTATTCGCGTGCAGATTTATCGATACCGCGTCGTCATCGATCATAGATATCGATCCATGGACCGGCAGAGAGGAGAGAACTCCTCCTGCGAGCAGCAGAATCGCGATGATATTAATAATCATCGTGCCGCTGCAAAACTGAAGCGAGTTTCGGGTTCGCTCGATGATTTTATGGCTTGTGCCAGATTACGATATCATCTTCAGTTATCGCGATCTAACGGGAACAAAAGAATCACTCTGGCAGTGCCTAAGAGGGAAAAGAGATCGATCGATTTCCCAATCTTAGCCAACGATTTCGGATTACATAGGTGTATTGTTCTTTATATTAATATTTATGCGCATATATGTATATTACACAGTTTTCTATTATTTAGATAAAAGTAATTCGATAAACTATTTAGATAAGATAATTGCTCCATCTTATCTCTCTTTTTATTTAGATTATCAAAGCATATATTATCCTGATTATTATGTTAGATGAAAGAAGTATTTTCTTCTTTAAAGATAATATTTAGCGAGTTTAGTCTTTGTTTGTGCACACAAATATATAGAATTTCGCTTTTGCATAACATCGATACCTTTTTATTTGCAAATGCATATATGTTACCAGATAGAAATCGTCAAACGACTAGAAGTTATCTAAGCAGAACGTATACATAACATGTATATATGATTATACCAAAAATTATATATCAAAATTATGTAATAAATATTACATATTTATTACATATTTATTACATATTTGAATATTTTCCGGACAAAGTCAAATATTAAAGTTTTGTCAAAAATTTAATTTTTTAATTTTTCTCTTATGAACAAATATATTGAACGTGTAGTAGTGTTAAGTTTATTTTTCGATATTTCATTACGAACTTTCGAAAATTGAGATTTTGCACACATAGGCACCACTGTGCCACTCGGTATAGTCGGCCGCTAATCGTTTTCGCCAACGAGCGATCGTTATACGTTCGTATGTATTTAATGATCAAAGTCATCCGAGATTGTGACCAACGCTTTATTAACGATTCGCCACTTGCCATCCCGTATTGCCTGATTACAATTTGCGAGGAAAATCGTAAATGTTATTGTTCTTCGACGAGGCACAAAACGCGAACAGATAAGGCGGATAAATGAGGCTTTCAATGGGAATGTCCATAAGGGGAAGTTATTATTACGCGAAATCATTTACTGCGAAACTAACGGAAGTTTATCTTCAATCTTACGTGTATACATTCATGCTCGATACCACGTGTCATCTAAAATAAAAGATTAACCATTGCTAGAGCAATCCGTTTCTCTTATCTTGCCCGAAACAGATACGGACTCTTGGGTGCAAGTGGATGCGGCAAGACGACATTGTTATCCTGCATCGTCGGAGTTAAACATATCGACTCGGGAGAGATATGGGTTCTGGGAGGAAAACCAGGCCAACTGGGCTCCGGAATTCCTGGACCTCGTGTGGGCTACATGCCGCAGGAAATAGGTTTGGTCGGAGAGTTCTCCGTGAGCGGTGCCCTTTATTACTTCGGCAGGATTAATGGACTCGAGGACGAGGAAATCGGTAAGAATAAAAAAATATTGTGTCGCTGCATATAATATATTGCATGCTGCTGAAAGCTTCAACTTCATGAGATACTCTTGAGTTGATTTCAATTTCTATTTTGAATCTCTCGCGCTTGTTTGCGAGCTTTTATGGCGTGGCGTAAGTTATTTCGAAACGCTATGATCTTTGCGTTTATTGTTTCTAAGAGACAAAACAGAAATTCCTTTCGGAATTACTCCAGCTGCCGCCGGCAAATCATCTAATAAAAAACATGAGCGGAGGTCAACAAAGGAGGGTCTCCTTCGCTGCTGCGTTGATTCACAGTCCCGAATTCCTGATTTTGGACGAACCCACTGTAGGTCTGGATCCAATTTTGAGCAACAAGCAAGTAGATTTCGTTCTCTCTTTAAATACCTTACATATATACCGGGAATAGTAGAAAAATATTCAAATATTATTTTTCTTTTTGTGCAGTATCTGGATATATTTAACCAAGATAGCTAGGGAAGAAGGCGTCACCGTGTTAATCACGACACATTATATTCAAGAGGCTAAAGATTCTCATGTGGTGAGTTTTATTCTTTATTGATCTTATTTCGTTGAATATTTTCAATATATCTTCGATGCTACGCAGATCGGTTTGATGAGAAGTGGTAAATTGTTGGCGGAATCGTCGCCGCAGGAATTGCTTGAGCGATTTCAATGCTCATCTTTGGAGGAAGCGTTCCTGGGACTGTGCCAGGCACAAAATGCTACGATGGTCGCAAATGCTTCGGTGGTCGAAGCAACCAAAGATACCGAAGATGACGTGTCTCATCAAGATGAAGATAGTTATAAACTAATGAAAGTATGTATGAATTAATTTATACTGTTTTTATTGCTATACAAAAGAACAATATACATAAATCATTAATGTACATAATTATTAATATTTAAACAAAAATAAATTGTGTGTATTAAGGATCGAATCGCAGAGTACAGAGCGAAATTGGCATATAATGTCTCGGCATCGAGAAGATTCAAGGCTTTGATGGGGAAAAACGCCATACAATTTATCCGTTTTTATTCGTAAGTAATTGTCAATAATTAACTTTCTCATGAGGAGAGTGTATTATATATATATAAGAAAAGTTTTAATTGTTTTAATCTCGACTTTTGTCATTTTTTTAAACAATAAATGCACGTTGCATACAAAATGTTATATTTCGACAAATTCGATTTTATAAATCGTTGCACGAGATTCACGTGACAATAATAATGATAATGATAATGATAAACAGCATATTTTTTCAGAGGTATAATTTTCGCGGTAATATTCCCGCTGTTAGAAACCGCTTCATTTTTTATTGGGGTCGGTGGTGATCCGAGAGATTTGAAGATTGGTATCATTAATCGCGAAGCTGGTAACTGCGATTATGGCAACAACATCGGTAACGTCTGGTACGACGAAGAAGATTTCACCTGCCACTTTAGTAATCTCAGCTGTAGATTTCTTTACGAGTATGGCGATTCTATCGCAGAACAGGTACAATTATTTGAAAATCGATCATATGTAACTTTTTTTCTTTTGGCATTTTTCCGCGGATTTATTTGGACATAAATCAATGATGATATTATTGCTAAAACACTGATGCATGCGTGTTCCTTGGCGAATCGTTGTGATAGAAAATCTGAAATTTATTAATGTAAAATATATGAAAAAAACATTTTTCATGTACAATAACTTATATTTTTGAGTAAGGAAAAATTGTTATTAAAATTTCATTTTCAGGAATTTTATGACGACATGTCTGACGCGACTCACGATGTACGCGATGGTGAACTCGTCGGTGTGATGTATTTCCACCATAATTTCTCTGAAGCATTACAGAGACGAATTGCAGATATCACAAATGCTAAGACAAAAGACATTATATCCAGTGAGATTGACGTATTTCTTGATATGGGTGGTACGTATATAAATTATTTATGTTTCATAATAAAGTTAAGAAATTTTTAGGTAATTTAAAAGAGAAAGAGAGAGAGAGAGAGAGAGAGAGAGAAAAAGAAGAAAATTATTTCGAGTAAAAAAACGTAGAAAGAACTTAATAAATTAAGACACAAGCTATTTTAGATTCCAAACATCTTAACTACGCCAAGTTTTATGTACCGGAGAAACCAATACTCGACGGCCTGAACATGACCGTCCCGAAGGGTACCATGTAAGTGATCGCTATTTATTGAATTTACCAAAAAGATTAATCATTTCTCGAGTTTCGCTTTAAACCAATTAAATGCAATTAAGATTTCCCAAGAAAGAAGTTGAAAAAGACGTTCAACGCGTGAAAAAAGTACGATAAAGCAACAATTGTATACGATTTATAAATAGATTATTCGTGTAATTTTCAACATTATTCGACGAATACAAAAAAAATCTTCATACGATACTGTGATACTTCTCGTATAAAGCCGGTATTATTTCAATTGCTCCGTCCATCGACTCGTTGAAAGTGGCCTGCAAATTGTCGTCACGCACTTTTCTGCGTACATTCACCGATTGCTGAAATTGCTGTCAATTGCACAATAACGGACACCGATAATCGCGTAACTTTCTAATAACCGTTCAGATAAGAAAATTTTTGGATTCTATCTCGGAATTTTATAATCTCGCTTTGTTGTACTACCAGTCAATTAAAGTAGTTTAATATTTCGCGATATTGTATTGCAAAATATATGTAGGTTTATTCATTACATTCTCAAATACCTGCTATATTTACTAGAATTAGGATCCAATAATAAGAGAATAAAAATGTATCACAACATATATGTTCAAATACTGTTTAACATTTTTGCGCGTTTCGCACACGCGCACACTTGTAATTAATCCCTAAGAGTGCGTTAGAAAGTCTTATAGATTTATTTGTAGATTCGAATGTATGCGTGTATGTATGTGAATGGATTGAAACGAGTACCTAACATCTAAGATCTGATCGTTTATTACCAGAATCGATCATGCGTTGTCGACGCGTTTTCTGAAAATTCAATCCTGAAGAATTCTCCGAGATTTTCTTCTCGCAGTGCCCTGACATCAGGACATCCTGGGAATCGTTTATTTTAATCCCCTTGATAATATTTCCATAGGATTTTCCGACGGCAAGACTTCATCTACTGCTTCCAGAATCTCGTCTATCGCCGATATATCATTTATCCTTGCCTTTACATTTTCACGTGAATTTATCTCGATTTTCTTTTTTGACGCGTGATGAATTTTTTGTTTTTTGCCTTTGCTCTCATCCGAGGGAACGAGAGTCTGTAACATTCTTCGAGAAGGAGTCCTTGGTTTATCTATTACGTTTGTCTTCGAGAATTTATGAAATATGACACGTGTTTTATCTTGTTTTTCTTTTTCAATTTTTTTTAAAGTGCTCGTAATGTTCTTGCCTGATAAAATTGCATATATTTTTCTTGCCTCACTAGATCGGTTTCCATGATCCGCGAAACCAGTGAAAGACTTGTCATGGAAGATCCTTGTGAATTTGTTTGTTTTTGAGATTTCTTGATTATTCAGATCACTTTTAACTTCGGTAGATTTGTTTTTTATAAAGTTTTGACTGCTTAAATTATTAAGATTTATAGCGGTAGAATTTTTATTCTTGAAATTATGGCTACTGATATTATTTAATAATCGTGAATGACTCATAATTCGCGTTTCAACTGTAGACGCAAGTTTATTAATCGTTATATTTTTGTCTGTTCTTTGAGTTTTATTCTTATCCATCTCAGTCTTATCAGGTTTACGAAAATTATTTATCTCCTCTGCATTTAACATCGTTGTTTTCTTAATCTTGATCTCTTCATCGTTTGAAATGCCGTTTCTGCTTTTATCTCTTGAAAAATTATCCTCAGAATTCTTACTCTTTTCAGCATGTTGTTGTTGATTCTTTTTTTCTAGAAGAAATTGTGCTTGTTTCTGTAAATTTAAGAGTCTCCATCTAAAACTGTCATCGTGCAATTGTCGCCATTTTACATCAAGTAATCTGATTAACCGCGACAAACTATCTTGAATCGACTTGATATATTTGAAAAACAGTTTAGTTCTTGAATTTAATCTCTGTCTTTCAAGCGTAAATTCGACATTGGAAAGAATCTGAGAAGGTACGTAATATTCAAGTTCTTGATCAAGATTCATGGAGTTTTGATATCTTCGAGGAACAACAAAATGTAAATCTTCATGATGGATCGAATCTTGATTAATTATTCTCTTTCCACATTCTTGTATCAGCAATACCACAAGCCGCAAGATTTCGCTGATATCATCAACCTGCTCAAAAGATTAAAAACTCATTAATCAAAATAATTCATTTTAATTAAAATATTTGAAGTCTGATAATCCAACATGTCTCGATAAATATTAAAAAACTAAATTAAATTTGCGATAATCTACTAATTTGCATATGATGAATGGTCGGGACGTCATGTTTTTTTGTAAAATCATTATTACGCACGGTTCTGCAAAATATTTCTTTCAGTACGCGTTTTCTCGTATTTATTGAATTCATTCATCATACTAGCGTTGGCAATCAAAGTTGCCACTTTGCCGAAATTTACCTCTGAAAAAGAATAAACCTTTTAATTATATTAATACGAAAAATTTTCACTTTTTAAATTCTAATTATAATTTCTGGCGTGTTTTTATATTGATTATTATATACGAAATTAGATACATTTTTTATATTGCGATTTTCAGCCATTTTATTTTTGTAAAGTTATTACGCGACAAGTAAAGAAAATTTGAAGTAAATTAAAAAATGTAACTAAAAATAAGTATGAAAATAATTAATAATCTCTATGAGTTTAAGAAGAATATACTCTTTACTTTTATATTTATCTCACCTATATATGTATATCAAAAACAAACCAACTCACCAAAACAATCCTGTTCATGATCAGTCCTGTTAATAATCTCGATAATCTTCTCTCCCAAATCCAAGTAAATTCGCTGCTTTGCATTTGCTATTTTTAATTTCTCGATCAATTCGTCGAGATCATCACCGACACCTGCTTTATTCGCGTGCAGATTTATCGATACCGCGTCGTCATCGATCATCGATATCGATCCATGGACCGGCAGAGAGGAGAGAACTCCTCCTGCGAGCAGCAGAATCGCGATGATATTAATAATCATCGTGCCGCTGCAAAACTGAAGCGAGTTTCGGGTTCGCTCGATGATTTTATGGCTTGTGCCAGATTACGATATCATCTTCAGTTATCGCGATCTAACGGGAACAAAAGAATCACTCTGGCAGTGCCTAAGAGGGAAAAGAGATCGATCGATTTCCCAATCTTAGCCAACGATTTCGGATTACATAGGTGTATTGTTCTTTATATTAATATTTATGCGCATATATGTATATTACACAGTTTTCTATTATTTAGATAAAAGTAATTCGATAAACTATTTAGATAAGATAATTGCTCCATCTTATCTCTCTTTTTATTTAGATTATCAAAGCATATATTATCCTGATTATTATGTTAGATGAAAGAAGTATTTTCTTCTTTAAAGATAATATTTAGCGAGTTTAGTCTTTGTTTGTGCACACAAATATATAGAATTTCGCTTTTGCATAACATCGATACCTTTTTATTTGCAAATGCATATATGTTACCAGATAGAAATCGTCAAACGACTAGAAGTTATCTAAGCAGAACGTATACATAACATGTATATATGATTATACCAAAAATTATATATCAAAATTATGTAATAAATATTACATATTTATTACATATTTATTACATATTTGAATATTTTCCGGACAAAGTCAAATATTAAAGTTTTGTCAAAAATTTAATTTTTTAATTTTTCTCTTATGAACAAATATATTGAACGTGTAGTAGTGTTAAGTTTATTTTTCGATATTTCATTACGAACTTTCGAAAATTGAGATTTTGCACACATAGGCACCACTGTGCCACTCGGTATAGTCGGCCGCTAATCGTTTTCGCCAACGAGCGATCGTTATACGTTCGTATGTATTTAATGATCAAAGTCATCCGAGATTGTGACCAACGCTTTATTAACGATTCGCCACTTGCCATCCCGTATTGCCTGATTACAATTTGCGAGGAAAATCGTAAATGTTATTGTTCTTCGACGAGGCACAAAACGCGAACAGATAAGGCGGATAAATGAGGCTTTCAATGGGAATGTCCATAAGGGGAAGTTATTATTACGCGAAATCATTTACTGCGAAACTAACGGAAGTTTATCTTCAATCTTACGTGTATACATTCATGCTCGATACCACGTGTCATCTAAAATAAAAGATTAACCATTGCTAGAGCAATCCGTTTCTCTTATCTTGCCCGAAACAGATACGGACTCTTGGGTGCAAGTGGATGCGGCAAGACGACATTGTTATCCTGCATCGTCGGAGTTAAACATATCGACTCGGGAGAGATATGGGTTCTGGGAGGAAAACCAGGCCAACTGGGCTCCGGAATTCCTGGACCTCGTGTGGGCTACATGCCGCAGGAAATAGGTTTGGTCGGAGAGTTCTCCGTGAGCGGTGCCCTTTATTACTTCGGCAGGATTAATGGACTCGAGGACGAGGAAATCGGTAAGAATAAAAAAATATTGTGTCGCTGCATATAATATATTGCATGCTGCTGAAAGCTTCAACTTCATGAGATACTCTTGAGTTGATTTCAATTTCTATTTTGAATCTCTCGCGCTTGTTTGCGAGCTTTTATGGCGTGGCGTAAGTTATTTCGAAACGCTATGATCTTTGCGTTTATTGTTTCTAAGAGACAAAACAGAAATTCCTTTCGGAATTACTCCAGCTGCCGCCGGCAAATCATCTAATAAAAAACATGAGCGGAGGTCAACAAAGGAGGGTCTCCTTCGCTGCTGCGTTGATTCACAGTCCCGAATTCCTGATTTTGGACGAACCCACTGTAGGTCTGGATCCAATTTTGAGCAACAAGCAAGTAGATTTCGTTCTCTCTTTAAATACCTTACATATATACCGGGAATAGTAGAAAAATATTCAAATATTATTTTTCTTTTTGTGCAGTATCTGGATATATTTAACCAAGATAGCTAGGGAAGAAGGCGTCACCGTGTTAATCACGACACATTATATTCAAGAGGCTAAAGATTCTCATGTGGTGAGTTTTATTCTTTATTGATCTTATTTCGTTGAATATTTTCAATATATCTTCGATGCTACGCAGATCGGTTTGATGAGAAGTGGTAAATTGTTGGCGGAATCGTCGCCGCAGGAATTGCTTGAGCGATTTCAATGCTCATCTTTGGAGGAAGCGTTCCTGGGACTGTGCCAGGCACAAAATGCTACGATGGTCGCAAATGCTTCGGTGGTCGAAGCAACCAAAGATACCGAAGATGACGTGTCTCATCAAGATGAAGATAGTTATAAACTAATGAAAGTATGTATGAATTAATTTATACTGTTTTTATTGCTATACAAAAGAACAATATACATAAATCATTAATGTACATAATTATTAATATTTAAACAAAAATAAATTGTGTGTATTAAGGATCGAATCGCAGAGTACAGAGCGAAATTGGCATATAATGTCTCGGCATCGAGAAGATTCAAGGCTTTGATGGGGAAAAACGCCATACAATTTATCCGTTTTTATTCGTAAGTAATTGTCAATAATTAACTTTCTCATGAGGAGAGTGTATTATATATATATAAGAAAAGTTTTAATTGTTTTAATCTCGACTTTTGTCATTTTTTTAAACAATAAATGCACGTTGCATACAAAATGTTATATTTCGACAAATTCGATTTTATAAATCGTTGCACGAGATTCACGTGACAATAATAATGATAATGATAATGATAAACAGCATATTTTTTCAGAGGTATAATTTTCGCGGTAATATTCCCGCTGTTAGAAACCGCTTCATTTTTTATTGGGGTCGGTGGTGATCCGAGAGATTTGAAGATTGGTATCATTAATCGCGAAGCTGGTAACTGCGATTATGGCAACAACATCGGTAACGTCTGGTACGACGAAGAAGATTTCACCTGCCACTTTAGTAATCTCAGCTGTAGATTTCTTTACGAGTATGGCGATTCTATCGCAGAACAGGTACAATTATTTGAAAATCGATCATATGTAACTTTTTTTCTTTTGGCATTTTTCCGCGGATTTATTTGGACATAAATCAATGATGATATTATTGCTAAAACACTGATGCATGCGTGTTCCTTGGCGAATCGTTGTGATAGAAAATCTGAAATTTATTAATGTAAAATATATGAAAAAAACATTTTTCATGTACAATAACTTATATTTTTGAGTAAGGAAAAATTGTTATTAAAATTTCATTTTCAGGAATTTTATGACGACATGTCTGACGCGACTCACGATGTACGCGATGGTGAACTCGTCGGTGTGATGTATTTCCACCATAATTTCTCTGAAGCATTACAGAGACGAATTGCAGATATCACAAATGCTAAGACAAAAGACATTATATCCAGTGAGATTGACGTATTTCTTGATATGGGTGGTACGTATATAAATTATTTATGTTTCATAATAAAGTTAAGAAATTTTTAGGTAATTTATAAAAGAGAAAGAGAGAGAGAGAGAGAGAGAGAGAAAAAGAAGAAAATTATTTCGAGTAAAAAAACGTAGAAAGAACTTAATAAATTAAGACACAAGCTATTTTAGATTCCAAACATCTTAACTAATAGCACGCGATTAATTAAAATGGTTCATTAATGGAATTATAAATATCGAACTTTATAAAGATTTTTATTACAGACATGCGAATTGGGCAATACATGGAGAAAAAGCTGTACGAACGTTTCTTTGAGATTTATGAAGATGTGTTAAAAGAGTGTAAATATCCACCAAAATTTAACAGAATACCCATTCGAGTGAGTATAAATATCTGCTCTATTATATTATTATTAAGCTTTTCTCTAACGCGTAGCATTATAATGAAATGACAATAAAAGAACAAAATTTTAATCAATTTCAGTTCGAGGATGCGGTTTATAGTGATATGGAAGATGGTTATGACTATTTTTTCGCACCCGGTTTCATGCTGATGTAAGTATACACAAATACACACGACCGTAAACATACGCAATTCAAGTTGAAATAATAAATATAATCGATTATTCTTTTTGCTAAAACTATTTAATACACTTTTTTCAGATTGCTCTTCTTTTTAGCCACCACAGTCTCCACCTCCTTGATAATCACAGATCGATCGGAGGGTGTTTGGGATCGAAGTCTGGTTCAAGGTATATAATTCATTTTAATCAGAGATTTTTTCTCTAATATTATTTCCCAATTATCGATTCACCTCTTATTTCAAACTGTTTTTATCGTAATAACACGCAAATGTATGACAGGTGTCAAGAACAGGGAAATCCTATTAGCTCACATTCTCACTCAGTCCACTCTCGTAATTATCCACGTTACACTGATAATGATCCTATTCTTTCCTATATGGGACTTAGACTGTGAAGGGTCATATGCCCTTGTATTCTTCATCATGTTTCTTTGCGGTCTTACTGGGCTCATGTACGGTAAGTACACGATATCTCGAAAGAAATGCAAGCAATCAAGAAAAACTGTTATAAATAAAATCTTAATCTCTGATTGGCATAATACATTCTCAGGTTTTTTCATCTCCGTTGCGTGCAAGGATCACACAATGGCGAATTATGCTTCGACTGGAAGTTTCTTCCCGCTAGTAATAATAAGCGGTAAGGCTCCATGTTTTCTTCATTTCAACAATTATCTTTTATTTTTATTTATTATTAGTATTGTGCTAAAGTTTCCTGAAACTACATGCTTTATCTTCTCATATATTTTATATATAAGTATATAAGAAAAAAAATAATAAAGTTTATCAAGGCAAATCTAATATCGATATATATATATATAAAGTTTTTGTAGCAAAGAATTATTAATTTATATTAATAATCTTTTTGGTAAAATTACAGGGTCCATATGGCCGATAGAAGGAATGCCAGATGCACTTCGCTATTTCAGCTACTGCATGCCGACGACCTTGCCCGCCATAAGCTTGAGAGCGGTCATTTTTAAGGGTTTTGCCTTAGACGAAGATGAAGTTTTCACTGGTATTCTAGTGAGTTGCGCATACATATCGGTTTTATTTACCTTTGTATTAATCGGCCTAAAATTGAAATCTTAAAAGATGATAGCATTTAGAAATATAAACGAAATATATTTAAAAGGAAGACAATAATGCCTTGCAATTAATTAAGAATATGATTCAGTTAGATAAAGATATGATATTTCATCAAACTCGAGTCAAAGTATATCTGATGATATAAGAAAATATGTAAATATTTTGTTTCTTTGAATGACTATTTTTACGAGAAATTATTTACTTCGAAAGGATAAATATAGTATATGATATTTCTCTATATTTAATTTTATTCAAGTTTAGAAATATTTATTCTTGTCGAAAAAGTTTTATCAAGTGAAATTTTACTCCTTCAAATTAAAAAAATTCTTTTTTACATGTTTCTTCTCTTCTCTCTTATAATAGAAACTTTTTATAGATTCCAAGGCATCGCCTTATTAATCAATAAAATTTTTAAAGAGTATAAGCTGATGTTATTTATAATTTCAATTTGTAAATGCATGCAAATTGAAAACGTTTGATATTTTTTTATAAATGCCAAATAAATTCTGTATATATAGAAATATAATAATATGTATATTAAATAATAATAACCACTTCTGCATTTATAATGCATATTTAGTTTAAGTAAAATAATTATTTAATTGTGTATTACTTATATTATCAATAAAAGAATGTATTGTTTGAACCATATAATAATTAAATTTTTAAACGTAACCTCGCCAATAATTCTAAATTAAAAAAGTGCAATATTATATAATAGAGAACGAAATATTTCTTCATACAATATTGTTTCGCGCGTTAAAAGTTATAGAAATAATATACTCGTGTGGGATAAGATGGGTATAAAGATGGGAAGAGATGATAAATAGAAAGAGAGTTAAATAAGAAAGAAAAATCTGCAGCGCAAATTTCATTAAACATGCGCGCTTCTCTGTTGACAATATATTCATGTTACATGTATAAATATACGCTGTTTTCTATATACAAACATACAACGTGCCACTTCACTATATTCATTTTGCACTTAATGCACTTTAATTATGCATGATCATCTCTGTTATAATAATTATATCATTTTATAATAAAATTATATATGACAATCCTGAGCCAGAGAGATGCGTAATTTTGGCGATTACTATCGCAACGATATAAATATAATAATTATAATCAAACGCTGCTTATATCACAAATTTGTTATCATTAAACTACACTGTTGTTATTATTAATTATTATTAATTTTATAATTATTATAACTATAATAGTACATCTCATATATATTTTTAATAATAATTACAATACAGAATTATAGAATAACATGTCGATTAATATATAAATATATTATCAGTTATATATAATTTTTGTTTTCTTCTGTATTTAAACTATATATATATAACTTTTATTTTCTCTGTCTTTTATAGTTTCTTTCATTTTGGAAATTTTTTAAATTTCTTTGAAGTTTTGACCACACACTTTTATTTTGGAAAGCTCGCGTTGAGAGATCTAGAAAACTAAAAATAGATATCTAGTCTATATAATAACAGTATAATTAAATTAAAGGTTATTAAATCTCTATCAGTTCAACCAGCTAGCTCATGCTCAGAAATTTATAAAAAAAATAGATAGCCCCAATCTGATAGAATAATATATTAATAAACTATAAATCTTTCCTATTTTGAAGAGCTGATGTTTCAAAGATTTATAAAAAAATAGATAGTTGATTTAATAGAGCGGAATTAGATGTAAGAATGATCGAGATACGTATTCCGCGTGTTCTTGAAACTTTCAGCGTACTCGTTGTTATTATTGTTGTTGTTGTTGCTGCTATTGCTGGCAGCTATGCTAGTGTCCTGATTAAGATCATTAATAGCGCGATTAGAGCTTATAGCAGAAAGAAGAAGCCGGGGGCCGCAGGTTCGGATTGGTCGTGCAGCAACAAGACAGTCAACTATCTGTCTTATAGTAGGCATGCAGGTTTTGTCGTATCCTGGAAAACACACGTCACATGCTCCATCAGAACTGAAAAACGCATACCGGCTGTCATCACGTCATTTTGGGTTTTAAGTTTAACATATTCGTCTTTAATAAATAGTCGCTTAATCAAAGTTTATCTCACGAGCTCAACGAACGAGAAGCTCATAACAAAGTTTTACATTTTGGAATGCACGCGATGTGACGATTAGACTATAAAATTGTAATGTGCTAAACACACAAATTTCCCAATATATTAGTTTGCGTAATTATACAGATCGCGAGTAGCTTCAAAATTGTAGAATAAGAAATTTTCGCAAAACCAAAATGTTTTTTGTAAAATATCATTTTAATTAACATTCGATTGTCGTAAAATAACTCCAATTCATGAGATGTTTCGTAAAACTGAAACTTTCGAAATATGATATTTCTTATGTGCAACGACTCGATATTTAACCCAAAAAGACGGATTTATATATCTCGTTATATAACAAAATACACAGTCTAAATTCGAACTTTAATAAATGTATACGAGAATCGAAAGGTTGCATGCATTTTTAAATTGAATGGGAGAAACACAACACAACACAGAAATAAGTACAGCGAACAGAGAGAAGATCATGAAAATCTGTAAGCTATCAAAAGATATCATGAAAACGTCAAGCATCGAATCTGAAATAGAGGAAAAAAATCTTTTTTTCCTTTAAAATAATCATCGTTATCAGGTACACTTTATCGACAATCGTGCAACCTTTTGGGACTTAACATCGGTGGTTTTATTTCAACATTTGAAGGTACTCTTGGTGTTATCTGTTAATCAATATGAAAATTATTTATCATCGTTGAATGTCAAGCGATGAAAGACGCATAATATTATAAAATGAAACGAAAGGGAATTCTCTTTGTCAAGTCAGTACATAAAACGTAACTCACATTAGCATTCTAAATACTTAGCGTTAATAAGGCTTAAAAAAATGTTATCAAAACATTGTTTAATGTGAATAAAAAGAGATATTAAGCAGATCATAGAAAAGAGAGGGGAGGGGAGACGCTATAAAGAGGTCTTCAGACGATCAATGACATAGGTCAACATTTTGAATAAGCTGATAATAACCACTAATTGGTTAATTGATAAACTACTGATCGCACTACTGATCCTTAAAAAAATTTTTTATGTTTTATATGTCACGACAAGCCTGACAAGCTTGATGATACAAAAATTTCTACTGATAAAATATAATGATTTATATGCAGTTAAAGCTAAAAAATATGCACGCGAAATACTTTTTCGTTATAGAGAGAAAGTGTTTCGTAATAATACTTAGCTGCGCATACAAATTTCGCATTTGCATGCAAAAATAAATAGACATACAGATACTGAAGTAAAAAATTGAAAAATGCATAAGAACTTATTAATAATTGTTACGCCATAACATAGATTCTTTCACAATTTTTTAACACATCTCATTATTTCTATATATTTCGCGTAAGATATCCCGAAAAAACGTGAAAATCGATGAATTCTTTGTCAAGTTTAAAATTCATTTTTCTTTGACAAAAATATTGATACTATGTTTGGCGTATATCTCCTTAGTTTTCAGTATTCATATAATTAAATTAATTTACTATAATATTTTATTGAGAAAACAACCGCCAAACATAGAGTCGACATTTTTATCAAGGAGAAGTAAATTTTAAATTTGATAAGTTACATTAAGAAACCAGTATGTTAAATTATTAAATTATAAACGATAGATATATCAAAGTTTTATATATTAAATGTACTTCAAAATTTGAATCATTAATTAAATTCTACACATGGAAGAACACCTGGAAGAATCCACATAAGAGAAACGACACATCCAAGAAATAATTTCTTCAGTTTTTGCTCTGTATAAATTCAGAGCAAAGCGTTATCCTTAAATCGATGTATCGCTTTGTCACTTATAATCTACAATTGTTCTGTGCAATATTGACTGTAAAATGTTATTAGGATTGTCTTGTTGTGTCATATGCAAGTCTTGCGTAAATCATCCAACAATTTCCCGATCGTTCATCGAGAATAACAGTTTCCACCGTTGGTCCTTTCTAAATATCGGGCTATCGATTTAAATCGTACTTTAATAATAATTATAATAAAACTGTTTTGCAATAATTGCATAATACTGTTGCGGCACAAATATTTATGCAAAACCGAGATACCGATATAATAACATAATTACGCTTCGGCGCTATTATATTAATTTGACACTCATCTTTTTTTCCTCCTCTCATTAAATTAATTAATTGAATTAATATTATATATAT